CCACGAGCTCCTTCCCCGTGCCAGCCACGTGCCACTGTCCCTTTCTCCATGCAGGTCCCCCCCTTTGTCCCTGACACACCAGCCACCCGGGCAGACCTGGCTGCCCAGTACACAACCATCGGGCGCATGGACCGAGGTAGGAGCCACCAGGCCAGGCTGGTGCCAGTGAGGGCCACAGACCCTCCCTTCCCCCTCAGCTCTGCCCCCTCCATCCACAGGGATTGGGCTGGTCCTGGAGGAGCTGCGGCGTTCTGGCTTCCACAACAGCACACTGGTGATCTACACCTCTGACAATGGCATCCCCTTCCCCGGGGGCAGGACCAACCTCTACCGCTCGGGCACTGCTGAGCCGCTGGTCATCTCCTCTCCTGAGCACCCCCAGCGCTGGGGGCAGGTCAGCCAGGCCTTCACCACCCTCCTGGGTAAGAGTCTGTGCCCCCAGGAGGGAGCAGAGCTGTGCCCAAGGGATGTGAGCTGCTCCCAACCCTCTTCATGCCAAAACCCAGAGTCCTGTCCCGGGGGGCAGTCCACAGCCTTCAACACTGGCAGGGTCAGCCCTGGGAAGGGAGTGAAGGGAGGACAGAACAGGGTGCCCTGCTGGGACAACATCCTGGGGCTCAGCTCTACAGCTTGTCCCAGGAGCACCCACAGCCCATGTGGCTGCAGACCCCAGGGGCCTTTCTAATCTTCTCTGGGGCTGCTTCCTCCCACATTGCCAGTCCTTCCTCTCACCTTTCTCCAGATCTGACACCCACCATTTTGGACTGGTTCTCCATCCCCTACCCTGCTTACAGCATCTTTGGCAAGAAGCAGGTGCAGCTCACTGGAAAGTCTCTGCTGCCAGCAATGGAGTTGGAGCATCAGCCAGAGCCACCACGAGGTGACCATGTACTACCCCATGAGAGCTATCCAGCACCGCCAGTTCCGCCTCATCCACAACCTCAACTACAAGATGCCCTTTCCCATCGACCAGGACTTCTACATCTCTCCAACTTTCCAAGACCTGCTGAATCGCACCAGGGCTGGACAGCCAACCCACTGGAACAAGACACTGCACCAGTACTACTACCGTGACCGCTGGGAGCTCTTTGACTGCAGCCGTGACCCCACGGAGAGCCAGAACCTGGCTCCTGACCCCAGCTACGCTGGAGTCTTCCAGCTGCTCCACATGCAGCTCCTCAAGTGGCAGTGGGACACGGGGGACCCCTGGGTGTGTGCCCCCGACGCTGTCCTGGAGGAGAAACTGAGCCCCCAGTGCAGGCCATTGCACAACGAGCTCTGAGTGTCACTCTGCCTGTGGCCTCACTGCTGTGGGACTGTCGTGCTCTCCTGTCAGGCACGAGGGGTTGGAGTTGCATCACGGATGGGCTGGTCCCAAATCCGTAGGTGACACCCCAAGGCTCTGCTCTCTGTATCACTGACACTCCCTGGCCCTAGAGCATTCAGGGATCCTTGTGCCTTTACTCTCAGCCAGAGGAGCCACAGGGCCAAGCTGTCCCCCCCTCAATAAAGCCTCTGGAGAAAGGGCTGTTTCAACCTGACCCTTAGCAAACCCCTGCAGCAGCCTCTGGCTTGGAACCAGCAGAAAGACAGGTCAGGGGGCTCTGCAGCACAGCCAGGACCGTGGGAAAAGCCAGAACATCCCCAATGCTCTGGGAAATTAGGTGAAGCCTGCAAGGGGCGCAGGAAGTCCTGCCAGAGACCCTCAGGCAGGGATGGAGCTGTGGGGGTCCCAGCCAGGGCAAGAGGCTGAGCCAGGGCTCAACAGCACATTCAGGACCAGCAGTGGCAAAGGGACAGGGACATGGCCTGGGGCTGCACCCAGCAAACAGCAGCTTTATTCACAGCACCGCTCCCTCACCCCCCTGCAGATCCCTCTCCCCAAAACCATAGCCAGGAGACTCCCTGCAGTCACCCCACTCCCCTACAAGTAACAGGTTTGCTGTCTCACAAGGCACTTGGGTGGTTTTTTCCCTGTTTTGAGGATGATGAGGTTTTCCCTGTGCCCAGGAGTTGTGCAAGCTCCCCCATGCCAGTCCAGTGCACACATCTCCATCGACTCACAGCAGACAGAGGAAAGCCAAGGCCCAGGAGCTGCGTCAGTGGCAGCTCCAGGTTTACAAAGGACAGGATGGATTTGGCCTCGGAGCCAGGGGGAGCAGCATCACCTCTCCCTGTGACTGGTGTTGGCTCAGGACCAAGAGATCACAAACTGCTCCCACATTGGCAATGACACAGGGACTCTCAGCACCTGAGGGGAGGAGGAAGGGTTGGCACAGTGAGAGCCAGCTGGGATGGAGCCCAGAGGGTGTCAGAGCCAAGGGGAGTGTCCTGCCCCATGCAGAGCCACTGCCTGGCATGGTCCCAGTCCCACAGACCCCCCAGGAAGGACACCCTTAGCAGACAGCCCCATGAGCAGAGCCATGGTGCTGTTCCTTCCTCACACAGCTCCAGCCCCATCACCAGTGTCTTTCCTTACTTGCTCCTGCCATGGCCTAATCCTGCCTGGCCCCAGGACCAACTGACAAAGCTGGTACTGTGCCGTTGCTGGGGCCAGCCCCTCAGCTGTGCCCTGAGTCCCTTTCCAGCTGCCACCTCTTCCCACGGCAGGGACCAACACTCACCTGGGTGTCACTGCGGTAGGAGAAGTCACTCACGATGGCACCGTTGGCCAGGACTTGCCGGGGAGGGCTGGTGACACCCAGCACAGTCACAGCCTGCAGCAGGACCCCGTCCAGGTGGGCACTGGCCCGCAGCAGCTGGCTGAGCACAGCATCCTGGGGCACAGCAGGGATGTCACAGCATGCTCCAGGGTCCCAGCCACCCCACACGCACCCAGGGCTTCTCCACATGCCCTGCCCAAAGCACTGCCCCTCTACCAGGGGGCTGGAGAGCATCCACTGCAGTGGAGCACTGCTGCTGTAAGGACTGCAGCCTCTGCCCCTCTGAAGGGGCTTCCTGGGGGGTACAGCCCAATGGGACCCCACCAGCTGTATCTGCTCAGCCTGGCACTTTCAGCACCACACAGCTCAGCAGCACCAGGGCACAGTGTGTGCCCCAAGACCACAGGGATCCCCTGCCCACTGCCCCCCACCAGCAGCCCCCCTTGCTCACGTGCGTGGCCAGGAAGAGGATCTCAGTGTAGTCTCCCCTCTCAAAGGTCTCCCAGCTCTCCCCATCGTCCCAGAACAGCTCTCCCCGGGCGAAGCCGTCCGGGGTCAGTGCCACGACCAAGGCCATCCCCTTCCTGCGGGACTGGGCAGTGCTGAACGCAGGCTCCTGGGGCGTGGGAGCAGGCACAGCTCAGGGTGCTGCTGGAGCCATGTCCCCCAGCCCAGCTGGACACCAGCACTGCCACCCTGCCAGGCTGGTCACCACGGTGTCACCACGGAGCAGAGGGGACTCACCTGCAGGGGCAGAATGTACCCTGCGCGGACATGGACGTTGATGGTGTCCAGAGGTGCTGGCAGGAGGATCCACTGCCCTTTGCTGTGGATAGTGGAGTCCTAAATGGTGACAAAGAGCGGGAAGAGCAGGCACAGGGTGCTGCATGCCCAAGGGGGCCCAGCCTAGCACTGTGGCCCTCAAATGGCCACGAGCGAAGGCAGGTGAAACATGAGACCCACACACACAGCCTCAGGGGGCTGGGACGAGCGGTGGGACCCAGGAATGCACGTGGGGTCCCATGGCACAGCCCTGCAGTGCAGCAGGGAGCACCCACCCCTGTGGGATGTAGCCGCTGACTGTGGTCTTTCCTGCCTCCAGCACGGGGGTGATGAGCAGCCCCCCGCCCCACAGCAGCTGGCGGTCCACAGCCCACGTGTTGGGGTCCTTGGGGAACCTGGGGCAGGAGGGAAGGGCAGTGCCAGGGCGACCCTGCACCCACCTCCTGCTG